TCTCAGCGCTGAAGCAGATGGAGCACCCCGAGAACGAGGACGAGCTCCAGACGTTCCTCGGGCTAGTCACGTACATGAGCCCGTTCATACCGAATGCCAGCACACTGACCGCGCACCTGCGTGAGCTGACCAAGCCAGATACACCGTTCGCCTGGACAGACAGCCACCAGCGCACCTTCGACAAGGTCAAGGCCGCCATTTCGACAGAGGTAACGCTCAGTTACTTTGACCCAGGCAAGGCAACGACACTACAAGTCGACGCTTCCATGAAAGGTCTCGGCGCCACTCTGCTGCAGGACGACAAGCCTGTTGCATTCGCCAGCAAGAAGCTTACCGAGACGGAGTCTCGCTACGCCAATATTGAGCGTGAGCTCTTAGCTGTCGTATACGGGTGTGAAAGATTCCACACCTACCTATTCGGTCAGTCATTCACAGTAGAATCCGACCACAAGCCGCTGGAGTCAATCAAGCTCAAGCACCTCCGCGCAGCCCCGCCGCGTCTACAGCGCATGCTGCTGAAGCTGCAGCCGTACGACATGACCATCAAGTACCGCCCCGGAAAGGACATTCCGATCGCAGACGCGCTATCCCGACTGTCGCCAGAGGAAACAGAGCCAATTGAGGACCTCGACGTCAGTGTACACGCCGTGTTCCCGCAATTCAGCGATGCAGCGATGACGAGGATCCGCGAGGAGTCGGCTAAAGACGCCGAGATGTCAGCACTGAAGGAGATGATCTTCAGTGGCTGGCCATCAGAGAGGAGCGCGGTGCCGGCAATTCTGCTCCCGTACTGGAATTTCCGCGACGAGATGAGCACCGAGGACGGTCTCATCCTGAAGAGCAGTCGCGTCCTGATTCCCCCGCCAATGAGGGGGGAAATCCTCAGCAAGCTGCACGCCAGCCACCAAGGCATAGAGAAGACCAAGCTGCGAGCCAGAACGTCCGTCTTCTGGAAGGACATCAACAAGGATATCGAAGCAACTGTCTCATCTTGCACGACGTGCCAGCGCCACCAGAGCAGTCAAGCCAAGGAACCACTGATGCAGCCCGATATTCCGCCAAGGGCATGGCACACCTTAGGCACGGACCTGTTCTACCTCGGCGGGTCAGAATACCTCATTGCCGCCGACTACTACTCCAAGTACTTTATCACCCGGAAGCTGCCTGCCGGACAAGCGACCAGCAGAGCCATCATCCAGCACCTCAAGGAGATTTTCGGTGAGCACGGCATCCCAGCCGTGCTGAAGTCGGACAACGGGCCGCAATACAGCAGCCATCTGTTCGCGGAGTTTGCTGCCGAATATGGATTCCGCCACAGTACGTCGTCGCCACATCACCCGCAGAGTAACGGGTTTATCGAATCGCAAGTCAAGATCGCTAAGAGAGCTCTCGAGAAGGCAAGGGAGAGCGGGACCGACCCGCACTTAGCACTGCTGTGCATTCGCGCCACCCCAGTGTGCCAGGGCTTACCGTCGCCGGCCGAGATGCTGTTCGGTCGTCAGGTACAGGACAACCTGCCTCGCAAACACCAGCGCGACACTCGGGACGAGGCCATCCGACAGAAGCTCGAGGAACGGCAGGACCAGCAGAAAGTACACCATGACCAGCGAGCGCAGTCTCTCCGCCCCCTAGTTCCTGGTCAGCACGTCGGCATCCGCAGCCCGACCACGCACCTGTGGGAACCTGGTATCGTAACCCAGTCTGTCAACGGGCCACGGTCATACATGGTGCAGCCTGACCATGGGACAGAAGTGCGGCGCAACCGTACCCACCTCAGAGAGAGGCGGGTCCACTTCCCGCCGGATGCCAGTCTCGCAGGCCCTCAGCCGTCGAGTGACGTGCTGTCGCCGTGGAGCGACGTTAGCCAGTCTCAGCCGCCGTCACCGTGTGACGTCAGCCAGCCTGCTGAACCTGCCACCCAGCTGTATCGAACGCGGTCTGGCCGCGCAGTCGCACCCAGGTCAATCCTGGATGTGTAGGGCCAGAGAGGCCTCATGGACCTGTTCGCTTATGTCACAGTAGCTGAGGTGCCACTGTTATATTGTACATAGAGCTATTGTTGGATACTATGTCTCTGTATTGTTAGCACGCCGTCGTGTGCCATTCATGATTGTTACCTTGTACATAGAGCTATTGTTGGATGTTATGTTCTATATTGTGAACACGCCGTCATATACGTACGGTATGTTATGTAGGTTGTTAAACTCCTTTATGACGAAGGGGATGTTGTATTATGATGTAATGCATTACGTAGCCATGCAAGAGCATGCGCGAGATACGCATCTCGCAGCTGCCTACTTTCATGCAGCATCCTTTAGATGTCGTGGTTCTTATGATTTGCCTACAATGGCCAAGTGGGAATATAATCCTATCGTAAACAACTACGTAACTTGTTTACCCCGAAACACTGCACAGACTGATGACATAATTATTATATTATAATAATTTTATAATAGCTATAAAGAGAACAAATTCTGCTGTCATCGCCACACTACAACAAAGTCATGAAGGTTTACCAAAATCGATTTTCTTGTCACAATCATCAGTGGAAAGCCGTGACTGAAGAATAACCAAGCCAAATCAATAATTTATCTACATTCAATAATGTGTTACGAGAACAAAACAAAGTGCTAAAAATAGAATGAGGGAAGGTGAGACAATAGAAGTAAAGTGAGAGCTAAGTGCAACAGGGGTGAGGAACTAATTGCAACGCTAGAACTATGTAGTGAGACAAACAATCATGCTGTGCACCTACGAAAACAATCTTAACGCAACTACATGTTTCTTCTGCTTACAAAGATCAGGCTTATGCAAACGAATACAAACAGCCTCAAGTACTTTCAACTTACTAGCGTACCGTGCACGACAAAGAACAGAAAAACTAAAATCATCATACACCTGCAGACACTTAGGGTGAGACAACAGATGAAGAAAAACGGCAGACTTCTTACGATCACAATCACCATCCGATTCCTCGTCTCCACCAACCGCAACCTCGTCCCCCGTCTCATCTTCCAACTCATCCTCAGTGTCGTCCTCCGTGTCATTCTCCTCATCACCACCGATCGGTCCCAGGCTCGCTTCACGTTGCTGAACCGCTGTTCGTTGACTCCTCCTTTGATCTTGATGGTAATTTGTTACCATTGTTGTTGTTGTCATTGTTGTTGTTCCTGTTGTTGCTAAATCTTCTGTTCCCAGTGTCTTCACCGGTGCTTGACATCCAGTACTGTAATAATTCATTGAATAATTAGCCGTTGATCGTCTAGGTCTTTGAATGTTGATCGTATTTTTTTTCTCTGTTGAATTCCGTTTCCTTCAGCCTTCTTTCTTCTTGTTCATGTTCAGTGCTTACCTCATCCATATTTGCCCGTTCCAGCGACACCACAGACTCAGCCCCAGCACTGCCGATGGCAGATGCAGGTGGCGGTTCTGGGGGAGGCAACGGCAACGATGGCGATGGGGGCATCACCATGATCACCTCGCCGCAGCGTCTACTTTGGTCTTGAGCTGGATGTTGTTGTGGTGTACTTTCTTGTGTTGTTATGGTGCATTGTGTTATAACGTTAGTGACAATGTGCACATTATCCATCTCCACGGCTCTCGATACGGGTAATGGAGGCACTATTGCCGTCGACGGCAATTGTGCTAACGATGGCTCTGATCGAGGGTTCTTAGGTGGCCTGCCGCGTTTGGGTAGCTATTATAAAATTGTTGTCTCCGCGTCGATTAATTATAATAATTATGTCTTCCAGATTCTACAATGATCACACAGCAATGACGCAACCAAGTCCATTTCCGCCGTTGGAAAAGGACTTGGTTACAGCTTAGGGCTGCTGTGCCTGGACACCAGGCTCGCACGCGCGGCCAGGCACAGCGCGCATTAGTTCTTCCGCCTGTTTCTACGCAATATGGCATGCGTTCTATTTCTTTCCTGGCGGCAGACAGATGGAATGCTCTTCCCACTGACTGCCGTCAGGCCCCGTCTCTTACTCTGTATGTAAACATGGTAAAAATTCACCTAGGGTTCCCAGTAAAAAGGCAATGCCTGTTGGGACTCCCCTAGTAAAATAATAAAATCTACTACTACTACTACTACTCCTACTACGTCATTGCTGTGTGATCATTGTATTACTGGCTCTGTCCACTGGAGACATAGAGCACTATACGCAGCCTGAGGACCTTAGACACCTATCATCCAGGTTTCAGATGGGTATGTTCCTGTGTATGTTGAGCAGACTCTGTACATGTACCAGGGAGAGTGAAGCTCCCGTAATCCGGGCAGGTTGGGAACTTGGGATCGAGCACTGCGGGCCGTACCTAGGAATTGCCCGTACCTAGGAATTGCCCGTACCTAGGAATTGCCCGTACCTAGGAATTGCCCGTACCTAGACCTGCAACTAACTTGGAATTGCCCGCACATCAGAACTAACATGCTTACTGTATATGTATGCAAGCAAACGTTTTTTATGCTACTCAATAATTTTTGGGGCTGTTCTTTTCTTTGAAAAGCCAATCTTAGTGATCATCTAGATGGGTCAGACAGGTTCCCGGTAGACGAGCATGCCTGGATTACAATTTGTAGGGGCGTCCGGATTAGGGGCGTCCGGATTAGGGGCGTCCGGATTAGGGGCGTCCGGATTAGGGGCGTCCGGATCTGGGGCGTCCGGATCTGGGGCGTCCGGATCTGGGGCGTCCGGATCAGGGGCGTCCGGATCAGGGGCGTCCGGATTAGGGGAGTGACCGGGAGTCCGGATTAGGGGCGTCCAGATTAGGGGAGTCCGGATTAGGAGCGTCCGAATTAGTGGAGTCTGGATCAGAGGCGTGCATGGATTAGGGGAGTTTTACAGTACTGATAATAGCAAGTGTGTACATGACAAGTACCTATATGGCAAGTGTGTACATATACAAAATGTTCATGATTTTCACCTACAGTCTAGCACAGAGTGGCTGACAGTGTATGCATGTTCTTTCTCCGACTCCATTTCTCTCCTGTCTATCAGACACAGGCATCGAGTTGATGACGCGTCAACGCCTGTAACCAGCGATGGCATGCTGTACGTGTGCAGCGTCATTCACGACGCTATTTAAAGGTCAGTGCTGGTCGCAGCAACTCTGTGCTCTCTGCTCTTATGTGAGGTGCAGTTTGTCCGCATCATTGCACTTACTTGTCTGTCTGTCTGTCTGTCTGTCTGTCGGTCGGTCGGTCTGTCTGTCTGTCGGTCCGTCCGTCCGTCCGTCCGTCCGTCCGTCCGTCTGTCTCTCACTCTCTCTCTCGCTCTCTCTCTCTCTCTCTCTCTCTCTCTTTCTTTCTTTCTCTCTCTCTTTCTTTCTCTCTCCTCTCTCCCTTCGGCTATTTTCGGCCTGGGGATCTTTAGCCTAAAATCTGTTGTGGCCAAAATGTTGTGTTGCAAGGTTCAGCGTGACCGTGTATGCAGGCAGCAGCAGGACAGGCTGAAATTTTGATGCGCCGAAATGTGTTTTAGCCTTGGGAGGCCGAAATTTCAACGCACCGAAAATTTGTAGACTTAAAAGCTGTGTTCCCAACTGGCGCGTGGACGTGGTACGCTTGCGGTTCATGCGTGCCCAGACGCGCGCTCAGGCTTTCACAAAAACAGCAATTCGACTTATTTTTAGGGCGTGCAGACGCCTTCGAGTACTGATTTGTTGACCCCGCCAGTCAAAGTGACCAGCATGTACGCTGGTACGCGCCTGATACGCGCTGAAAGTTCCAACATGTTGGGACTTCCATTTCGGCGTGTTTCCGTACGCATGGCACCCCAAAAGCCAGAAAAATACGCACAAACCACGTGTACACGCGCCAGTTGTGAACACAGATTTACAGTACCCGGGGGGGGGGGGGGGTCATCAGGGGGGGGGGGGGGGGGGGGATCATCAGGGGGGGGGGGGGGGGGTCAGAAACATCCAAGTGTATATTGGATGAGTTACCCATTACCAATACTCTAATGCCTCGCTGGTGGATTTGTTCTACCCTCACCATTTAGGATCTACATCTGACGCCTGATCATGGGCTGGCTTCCCACAGAAGGAGAACATGTGATTCTTCACCTGCCCTGTAGAGAGATCCCGTATTAGTTGATGTATTTTATATTTTATTGGCCATCCGTAAGGCCATGGTAAGAATTATCTTTGATTCTCAAGTACGCGCGCACCGATTTTTGGTGGCGCACCGACGATTTTTTATATTTCTATGCATGCATATGCGCGCATGAAAACGGTGAATGCGAAAGGCATGAATCAGGGAGTAGTAAAATACCGGTATTTTTCTACTCCCTGGCCTGAACATGTGTCATGTGACCATGCACATATGTGTGATCCGGATATCCCTATCTTTGGAAATAAAAACATTGTGGGAAATAAAATAAAAAATCGCTCGCTCACACCGATTTTCACAGGTTCATGACCTGAGAATCAACTTTATTTTTTTACCATGGCCTAAATACCGATATTTATTTAGAAACGAAAACTAGTCATTTTTTTTGATTCTCAAGTACGCGCGCACCGATTTTTGGTGGCGCACCGACGATTTTTTATATTTCTATGCATGCATATGCGCGCATGAAAACGGTGAATGCGAAAGGCATGAATCAGGGAGTAGTAAAATACCGGTATTTTTCTACTCCCTGGCCTGAACATGTGTCATGTGACCATGCACATATGTGTGATCCGGATATCCCTATCTTTGGAAATAAAAACATTGTGGGAAATAAAATAAAAAATCGCTCGCTCACACCGATTTTCACAGGTTCATGACCTGAGAATCAACTTTATTTTTTTACCATGGCCTAAATACCGATATTTATTTAGAAACGAAAACTAGTCCCCTCCCTGAGAAACGAACACATACTGAAGTACAAACGATGCATAGTATCGATCTTTTTTTCTTTTTTTCTGGACGTGCCCACACATAAAAACTGTGCATCGATATTTTTTCGAGAAACGAACACGCGCTCAACCCCCTCCCCCCGAAACGACTAGTTTTCGTTTCCAAACGAGAGAGCTTGGAAGCTCAGGGCCCTACGCTATGCTTTTTTGCCTTGATGACCTAGACAAAAAAAAGCATAGGGATGTTATAAATTCTTTAAAAATTCCTTTTTTTAAGACATAACCTGGGATTCGAACCCGCACTATCGCGCCCTGCATGCATCCCCCGGTCTTTAAAAAATTCCTTTTTTAAGACATAACCTGGGATTCGAACCCGCACTATCGCACCCTGCATGCATCCCCCGATACACTTCGCATAAATACTAATTCTTCCAAGTTGCTTCACATTATGATCTTGCATTTGAAAGCCCTATTTGAATATGCATTGTGGCCAGCCGTCTTTGATGGTACGGTACGGAAGGGATAGGTACGGGAGAGGTACGATCGAGGGTAATACGACACCGTCTCCCGTACCGTACCATCAAACACAGCTGGCCACATACAGCTGCCCGCAATATTCAAATAGGGCTTTCAAACGCAAGATCATAACGTGAAGCAACTTGGAAGAATGAGTATGAATGCGAAGTGTATGGGGGAATGCATGTAGGGCGATAGTGCGGGTTCGAATCCCAGGATATGCCTGAAAAATAGGAGAATTGAAAAATTTATAACATCCCTATGATTTTTTGCCGTCAGATACGGGATAGCGCCAGGCGTGACACAAACAAACAAACAAACACACAAACAAACAAATACCAAACGAGAGAGCTTGGAAGCTCAGGGCCCTGCGCTATGCTTTGTTGCCTAGCTCATCGTGCATGTTGTTAGAACTGGTGGAAATGCTTTTTCCTTTGATTAGCTTCATCATTGTATTGCCAAAACGTTTCAATGAGATACTGAAGTAACGTCTTCTGCATAGCTTCGGGACCGGCGCTGACTCTGCCTATCACGGGCGTTCTGCAGTCGATGACGTTTCCTGGGACCGGCGCTGACTCTGCCGATCACGGGCGTTTATCTTCTTATTATTATTATACTGGCGGCAACCAACATCCATTCTGATTGCATTTACTCGTCTCCCTACTTCGTATTTCTTTCCAGAAAATCTCCCCATACAGCAGGGAGTCGTTTACATAATATGACTCCCTGCTCTACATCTACATGACTGTATAATTATACGTTATAGTTATTATGCTATCCGCCTACATGCGATTCCCGGGCAGGTCGACAGGCGGCCCAGCCAGCCTGCTAATGGGATCTCGGCCTCGCACACAAATCCACACAAAATGTTACTGCACTGAATGCATTCCCCCGATACACTTCGCATATATACTAATGTCTTATTCTCTTGATGGTACCGTACTCTTGATGGTACGGGACAGGTACGGGATAGCGCCAGGCATGTCGATGGCACAAACACACAAAAATATTGTGGCGAGCTGTCTTTGCTGGTACGGTACAGTATGGGACAGATACGGGATAGCGCCAGGCGTGACACAAACAAACAAACAAACAAACAAACAAACAAACACCAAACGAGAGAGCTTGGAAGCTCAGGGCCCTACGCTATGCTTTTTTGCCTTGATGACCTAGACAAAAAAAAAGCATAGGGATGTTATAAATTCTTTAAAAAATTCCTTTTTTTTAGACATAACCTGGGATTCGAACCCGCACTATCGCGCGCCCTGCATTCATCCCCCGATGCACTTCGCATACATACTAATTCTTCCAAGTTGTTTCACATTGTGATCTTGCATTTGAAAGCCCTATTTGAGTTATATGCATTGTGGCCAGTCGTCTTTGATGGCACGGTACGGTAGGGGATAGGGACGGGACAGGTACGATCGAGGGTAATACGACACCGTCTCCCGTACCGTACCATCAAACACAGCTGGCCACATACAGCTTCCCGCAATATTCAAATAGGGCTTTCAAACGCAAGATAATAACGTAACGCAACTTGGAAGAATGGGTATGAATGCGAAGTGTATGGGGGAATGCATGTAGGGCGATAGTGCGGGTTCGAATCCCAGGATATGCCTGAAAAAAAGGAGAATTGAAAAATTTATAACATCCTATGCTTTTTTGCCGTCAGATACGGATAGCGCCAGGCGTGACACAAACAAACAAACACACAAACAAACACCAAATTAAAGCTGTGTGGACCCTGGCTAGCGCCAGACGTTACTGAAGTAACGTCTTCTGCATAGCTACGGGAATTAAAGCTGTGTGGACCCTGGCTAGCGCCAGACGTTACTGAAGTAACGTCTTCTGCATAGCTACGGGAATTAAAGCTGTGTGGACCCTGGCTAGCGCCAGACGTTGAAGTAACGTCTTCTGTATAGCTACGGGAATAAAGATATTTATTCCCGTAGCTATACAGAAGACGTTACTTCAGTAACGTCTGGCGCTAGCCAGGGTCCACACAGCTTTAATTTGGTATTTGTGTGTTTGTTTGTTTGTTTGTTTGTGTCACGCCTGGCGCTATCCCGTATCTGTCCCGTACCGTACCGTACCATCAAACACAGCTGGCCACATACAGCTGGCCGCAATATTCAAATAGGGCTTTCAAACGCAAGATCATAACGTGAAGCAACTTGGAAGAATGGGTATGAATGCGAAGTGTATGGGGGAATGCATGTAGGGCGATAGTGCGGGTTCGAATCCCAGGATATGCCTGGAAAAAATAGGAGAATTGAAAAATTTATAACATTCCTATGCTTTTTTTGCCGTCATCAAGGTGGTAGACGGTGTCGTATTACCCTCGATCGTACCTGTCCCGTACCTATACCGTACCGTACCATCAAAGACGGCTGGCCACAATGCATATTCAAATAGGGCTTTCAAATGCAAGATCATAACGTGAAGCACCTTGGAAGAATTAGTATGTATGCAAAGTGTATCGGGGGATGCATGCAGGGCGCGCGATAGTGCGGGTTCGAATCCCAGGTTATGTCTTAAAAAAAAGGAATTTTTTAAAGAATTTATAACATCCCTATGCTTTTTTTTGTCCAGGTCATCAAGGCAAAAAAGCATAGCGTAGGGCCCTGAGCTTCCAAGCTCTCTCGTTTACGGATGGCATCTTTTTAGGGTGCTGAAATAGAAAGGAATGGCATTTTAACCTACATGTTCATGTACACTGGAGATTGGATTTATCGACCTTGGTAACGACAAAACGAGTTAAGCGACAAAATTATGTTGCCGGATTTAGTGACAGATCGAATTTAGTGACATTTTGCTTTCTCCCGATGGCGATGGAGTGTCGTTACATCCAATCTCCGCTGTACTACATGTACATGTATAATGCTAGTTATTATTATTATTATTATTTAGAAAAGAGAAGAAACACATGAGAACGAGTTATGCAGCAACTATCCGTGGATAGTTGCTGCATAACTCGTTCTCATGTGTTTCTTCTCTTTTTTACATTTTTTTACTGGCTCAGTATCCGAGTTTAAAGGGGAAGTGCATCGATTTTTCAAGTAGGGCTCAGATGAAAGACAATTGGATATCGGTTCCGATGGTATATCTCTCGTTTGCGTACGGCAAAGGAAACTTGCCATATCGCCGATTTCCTGATCCCGTTTCCATGGCGACTACAGGTGATGACGCACATTCTGCTTAGCTCCGTGAGAGAGAAGGTCGATCACTGCAGAATTGTGTCATTTTCAGTTGTCTTCTTGTATTCACGTCACGAAGTGAAAGAAGTACTGTGTTCAATGCTGTTAGTGCCGTGAACTGTTTATTAGTAGTCCTCTCCGTTGTGTACTGGAACGTGACACCGACAGGGGAAAGCTGGAGTGCGGAGACGTTAGCTGGCAAGCGAAAATCGTGACGAACCAAGTGCTGAAATCTTGGTTGGGACAAATCAAACATTCAGCATTTACCTCAACCAAGGACCATGCCGTTTGCTCTTTCCACTTCCTGAAGCTGGATGCGCTGCCTGCTGGAGACTCTCCTATCTCTCGTAACATCTTCTGAAGCCAGGTGAGACGACGAGTAGCGGAGATTAGCGAGCGAAATAATGTCGTATGTTTTGAAATTTTTGCTGAACAATTCTCAGGACAGATGGCGAATACCAAGCATCTTCTCCTAGTCTAGAGAAACCATTTCGTAGGCTACATTCCGCCTAGGGAAATGGCTGGGGAGGACACACTTGGAGGAGAACGAAGTAAGTGATCTTTATGTTGTTCTCTCAGTTTGGTATTGCAATCTTATGTTTGACGAATATACGGCATGGTGCATAGTTGGTCGTTGAGTGCCTGCATGTGCATGTATAAGTGTGTGCTGATAAACACTTCCTATGCAAGAATCTGACACTCATGCTCTCTTTCTTTCTTGCAGTATGTGCGCACGTGTGTGTGTGTGTGTGCGTGTGTGTGTGTGTGTGTGTGTGTGTGTGTGTGTGTGTGTGTGTGTGAGAGAGAGAGAGAGAGAGAGAGAGAGAGAGAGAGAGAGAGAGAGAGAGAGAGAGAGAGTGTGTGCAGGAGCAGCGTGGAGCATGCCAGTGTGATCGCTGTGGCCGTTGCTTTCTTAGCTGTGGCGTTCTTGCCCGTCACAAGTGTGTGGCTCAGCCTCCAACGACAGTGGGGCCGTGTTGTGGTGAATACTGTGTGTCCTGCGACCGCTGCTGAAGCTCTCCTCGGCCGTACGTCAGTCTCGTGGCAGATGACCCGAACTCTCATTTTGTGTGTGTGTGTGTGTGTGTGTGTGTGTGTGTGTGTGTGTGTGTGTGTGTGTGTGTCTGTGTGTGTGGTGTATGTATATATATGTGTGTTGCTCCCTACGTAGCCGGACCAACTCTTGTTTTTGTGTCCCGGGCGCCATGGGGCGGCGTTCTCCCATTCTCTCTCCACTGCCCCTCCGGGCGCACGTGGCTGTGACTCAACAGGGCAGGGCAAGTGTGTGTATGGCGCATGGTGTGTGTGGAATTTGTTCACCCACAACGTTGACGGAAAACCATGCTAGGTGTTGCTGGAATGTATGGAGTCTGCGAGCACTTACAATAACTTACGTCATGTCACAACAAAGAACGGTGCAGTGTTTGACCCTCGTGTAAACATGATGGTGATGGTACCTCACCTAAGCTACCCATGAAGCTAGAAAAAACATCAGGTCAACAGAATTGTACCAGAGGAAAGCATCTATTGCCCGAACTTCTTCATATGGAATGAACAATACCCTTCTCCATAGAGACAACATGCAGATGAAGTGTATGGACAAATAATATATAAATAGGCCATTCACTGAGGGCATGGAATAATCTCCACGTGTAGATTGGATAGACACATGCACGTCTGCAAGGAAAGCATTTGTTCATGGGTTAGTTCATGGGCTGATTGAGTTCACATGGACTAAGTTCATATGTGCCATCTCTCCTGAGATATGTTCAGCAAAATTTCAAAACATACGACATTATTTCGTTCGCTAATCTCCGCTACTCGTCGTCTCACCTGGCTTCAGAAGATGTTACGAGAGATAGGAGAGTCTCCAGCAGGCAGCGCATCCAGCTTCAGGAAGTGGAAAGAGCAAACGGCATGGTCCTTGGTTGAGGTAAATGCTGAATGTTTGATTTGTCCCAACCAAGATTTCAGCACTTGGTTCGTCACGATTTTCGCTTGCCAGCTAACGTCTCCGCACTCCAGCTTTCCCCTGTCGGTGTCACGTCCCAGTACACAACGGAGAGGACTACTAATAAACAGTTCACGGCACTAACAGCATTGAACACAGTACTTCTTTTCCTTCGTGAATACAAGAAGACAACTGAAAATGACACAATAGGGCTTGAAAGTGCTACGTCACAGCATAGCAACAATTTCAAAAATTCAAAAATTGGATCCACTTGGATCCAGTTTTTGTATGGATCCAAGCACATTTCAAGCCGTCTTACTCTCAGCAAGGTGATGTTACCAGTGAAACTGACTGATTTGGCTACTGGGGGCGGGGTTACAACTGGTGGCGAAATAAAAGTCACACCTGCATGCGACATGAGTGGGTTGCTATGCACCCACATACTTAGGCAATAGCAAAGTCACACCTTAGTGGATCCAAAAATAGAAATCTGATGTCAACTTACTACTCCCTGGCCGTTTTGACGTCATCACTTTCAAGCCCTATTCTGCAGTGATCGACCTTCTCTCTCACGGAGCTAAGCAGAATGTGCGTCATCACCTGTAGTCGCCATGGAAACGGGATCAGGAAATCGGCGATATGGCAAGTTTCCCTTGCCGTACGCAAGCGAGAGATATACCATCGGAACCGATATCCAATTGTCTTTCATCTGAGCCCTACTTGAAAAATCGATGCACTTCCCCTTTAAATTATTATTATTATTATTTAATAATAGCAATGAAAAGTATGAATGCCGCAGACATCACCACGCAACATGACAATTTGTTCAAGGTTTGGTTTTGTGTGTTTCCAAAATCGATTTTCACGTTGCGATCATCAGTGGAAATACGCAACTAAAGAGATCAAGGGAAAAACAAAGGTTAAAAATCCAAAGAAGTGTGACACATGACGGGTAACTTGTGGTAAGTATTACAAAAAGTGAGAACTAACTTTATTTTAGTTCTCACTTTTTGTAATACTTACCACAAGTTACCCGTCATGTGTCACACTTCTTTGGATTTTTAACCTTTGTTTTTCCCTTGATCTCTTTAGTTGCGTATTTCCACTGATGATCGCAACGTGAAAATCGATTTTGGAAACACACAAAACCAAACCTTGAACAAATTGTCATGTTGCGTGGTGATGTCTGCGGCATTCATACTTTTCATTGCTATTATTAAACTTTTATCTCCACGTAGATTATTTGTTTATTATTATTTATTCATATTATTTTTACTAGGGCAGTCCCCACAGACCCGGCCTATGGTCTTCTTACTAGTTCTCTCGTGTTCTGTCGTGTTCTGTGCTGTAGACCGTATCTGCGTCTATAGAGATAGCGCCGGAGCAAGCGACTCACCCACACCAGTTACCATGGCACTGTTTGCCGGGCGTGTTACTCTTCACGTCGGCGGCCAAGAATTCGTGGCTGGACGCTGATATCTTGTGTACATGTATGTGTAGTTGTGTACATGATGTCATGGAAACCGCTTTGCCACGGGTCCAGGCGATCCTGCCCGTGAGCTCATCTCATAATTATTTGTTTGACGGTTCCCTGAAGAGGTCAGCTATTTGTTCCAGGATTCCTTGTGCTGTGTGAGAGTGTGCCAGACTGTGAGTCGGTCTTTTGGAGGCGAACGTGACAGACTCCTCCTGCAGCTTCACGTTTAGGGGTCGTCCGTAATTATCGAACTTTTTTCACGAAACGAAATAATTTCGTTATGGGGTGGGAGGGGGTTGACCAATTTCGTTTCAGAAAACTTCGATACATGTACATAGCCATAGGAGAAGTAACACACTTGCGACTTTTGCTGTATATGCATGTGTATGTCAACAATTTTTACGTTCTGAGGGGAAGGGAGGGAGGGGTTGGGTCTAAACTAAAATAATTCGTTTGGTGAAAAAAGTTCGAAATTTACGGACGGCCCCTTAATGGTATTCATGATTGGACGATGGTATGGATGTGTGTTCAACAGGACACATGTGTGTTCAAAGGTATGGATGTGTGTTCAATGGTATGGATGGGTGTTCAATGCATGGTATGGATGTGTGTTCGATGCATGGTATGGATGTGTGTTCAATGGTATGCATGTGTGTTCAATGGGGTAGATGTGTGTTCAATGGTATGCATGTGTGTTCAATGGCATGGATGTATGGACAATGGTATGGATGTGTGTTCAATGGTATGCATGTGTGTTCAATGGTATGCATGTGTGTTCAATGGTATGCATGTGTGTTCAATGGTATGCATGTGTGTTCAATGGTATGCATGTGTGTTCAATGGTATGCATGTGTGTTCAATGGTATGCATGTGTGTTCAATGGTATGCATGTGTGTTCAATGGTATGCATGTGTGTTCAATGGTATGCATGTATGGACAATGGTATGCATGTATGGACAATGGTATGCATGTGTGTTCAATGGTATGCATGTGTGTTCAATGGTATGCATGTGTGTTCAATGGTATGCATGTATGGACAATGGTATGCATGTATGGACAATGGTATGCATGTGTGTTCAATGGTATGCATGTGTGTTCAATGGTATGCATGTGTGTTCAATGGTATGCATGTGTGTTCAATGGTATGCATGTGTGTTCAATGGTATGCATGTATGGACAATGGATGCATGTATGGACAATGGTATGCATGTATGGACAATGGTATGCATGTGTGGACACAGTACCGGCAGAAGCAGTTTTGGATTGGTCCAGGATGCTTCTTTTTTTTGGAGGGGGGGGGGGGGGATACCAAGTACATGTTTTTAACATGTTAGTTGTCATGACTAGGGAGGTTCTGCTCTACGTTTCGGGGAACACGACGCAAAGAATAACGCGAACTCTCTTCGCGTTCCCGTAGCGTAAAGAAATCCTGTTCTGCTCTACGTGTCGGGGAACGCGACGCAAAGAATCACACGAACTCCCTTCGCGTTCCCGTAACGTAAAGAAATCCTGTTCTGCTCTACGTTTCACGTAGGGAAGTCACGTGGAATGTGTACGGGGAATTTCCCCTTCCATATTTGGCAGTTTTCTGCCTGCACTCGTGTGATACCCAGGAGATCCGTACGCATTTTCTTTGCGTGTGGCACAACGTAGAGAACCTCATCTACGCGTAGAAATCTGGACCCAAAACACGCGAAGCCGTAGACTCTAACCAAGATACCTGCTCTCTACGTGATTTCTCTACGTTTCAGGTATAGCAGAACCTCTCTACTGTCTCCTTGATGACCTGGTGACCATGGCAACACAGGCACTAAGTCTAAGAGTACACACACGGGCAAGAGTACATTTCTGTATTTACGATTTCTATTTTAACCGCCAGATTTCTCCTCGTTAACTCGTTAGAATAGACCGATCCCCTTATTATACTGGGTTCGAGCACGGGGGCAACCTCACTCGCGATTGAGCTAGTTTTTGAACGTGACAGCATCTTTGACAGTGTGTTTCAGGTTTGTTTTGGAATGTCTTCTGCTTAGTTCAAGTGGTTTGCGTTGGCTTCGAGCGGTGCTGAACCTCCTGCTGGTAGGAGCAGAGTCTCCGAGAGAGACATGGACTGTGATGCAGCTGCAGGATTTTTTCAAGGCGCGGGAGGGAACAATCTCGGGCCACAAACAGGAGTTACTCCTGAGGTGAGTTTTTTTGTTGTTGAAATATTCGAATCGCGAATCGTGTTGTGAGACTTATTTTGTGCCTAGGCTACAGCAGATCGTATTTCTTTCTCCTTGAGATCGGTGCTGAAGATAATAGTAACCTTTTTCTGGTCTGCCTTTTCCTCTCCAGAGCCATCTTCTATGAAGGTAACCGTGGTGCTGCCAAGTCACCAAGTCGCGATCAGCAGCCCTGAAGTGGAAAAATCGATTTTCCAACGATCTGGTTGGACATCAGCCACTAAAGTACTTCTGATTTGCCTGTAGTGACAACAGCAGCCATCCTTGGACACCTTGCAAAGACAGGAAAAGCCACTGGTGGAAGCGACTGCTATGAGGTGACGATAGCAGTGGTGATCGCTGTTTTGTCAAGAAGGGGTAGCCAACCCAGAGGAAGCATTAAAAAAAAACGATGAGCAGTGCGTGGTATTTGTTGAGCGTGAAGAGCTAGAGGAGGACAGTGCAAACACATGGAAGGAGTGGATGGTGTTTGAAGAACAGTGTGCTGTGTGCCGGCTGGTGGTGATGGTGGTCTTTGTCAGCATGTATTCGTGCTGCTTCTTGTGCTGGAACACTTCTCGCCCAGGAAGGCAGATTGCGTGCTCCCTGGCCCTCAGTCGGCAATGGGGCTTTTGTTCCAGGAACATTACCCCAGAGCCAGTGATGAGCGTAGCGCAGTGGATTGCTCCCTCTTCGAAGTACGAGGGCCAAAGCTTGCCGCTGTCTGCAGCAAAGTGTGTGTGCGGTTCTTTCGAACCTATGAATATACCCCCCCCCCCCCCCCCCCTCTCTTAGGAAGACTTCATGTTCACAGTGAACTATTTTCTAGTTTATTTAATGCGAGACGGGCTGTTTACGCCCAAGATCAAGATACAGTTTTTTTCTGTTTCTATACCTTCCTAATAAAATACATTGTGACAAAGCTTCCGGTCATACTCCGCTGTACTACATCCTCAACCCGCCACCACCATGCGCTCTTGGCCGAACTAATGCACGAAGCATAAACACACCAGCACAGCAAGGACACTTCCGTTGACAGATATTGTTTACGCCTCTAGACAGCTGTTTCGTTTCTTCGAGCTCATCGTTAGAGGAGGATAGTAGCAGGATATTAATGATGATACAGTCGTCCCTCTCTAATCCGGCACTTTATAATCCAGCACCCTCGATAAACCAGCACAATTTTCAGTAGCCAAAATGTCCTCTTCATGCACATTGCAGCAGTAAATCAGATTTGTTAATCCAGCACCCTCCCTAATCCAGCAGATTTTCGTGGCACAAATGGTGCCGGATTATAGAGGGACCACTGTATAAGATGATAGACGGTTTATGGTCCGATATTGATGATTGGCGATCTAAGAAAGCAATGACAGTGATTGCGAAATGGATAATATTATCATGATTATATGCCAGTCTGGTAATGCGTTGTTCTGGTGGACAGTATTGAAATCATCACTGCATTCGATGCAAATATTGGTATACCTTGGTTTCAGTATTGGAAAAAAAGAGTAACAGAACCTGGTTGATTTGGTTGCATCTGCGACTGGCTACCGGGTGTTGTGATCAGCAATGTTACCATGGGAGAAAATAAGAGCGCAAGGATCTGTTGGGTCTTGTTGTACCGTGCCGGTGCGAGAACCCTAAGTGCATGGCAAAATAGAACTGTTTCATCCACAATGCAGAATGTCTTGCGGTACATAGCATTGATGACTGAACATCTCGCCCAAATGGGGATCATGCCCAAACGGAGGAACAAGACATCTTTCCAGCTCAGCTAGCTATATACCGTGAAATAGATGATTAACTTGTGCCACGCATGCCAGCTTCTGTTCCATTCGGCCCAGGCTTAGACACATCAATGCCAATAGCAGCTGATCCTCCATTACATGCTCATTGGCGATTTACGGCCACCTCCAACTGTATCCGCCGTACCTCAGCTTCCGTCTTCGCAGATCTGGCGCGGCGCAGCACATTTTCTCGGCTAGGCTCAAAGAAGTCCCACAGAGCGGTCCAAACACCTGAAGGCAAACCAGTCAGAAACTGGAGCGGCTCAGAGTCTTTCTTTATGTTATTGTACGTAAGCTGTTTTTCGGCTTTCTTCACCCCAGTCCTCACATCGTCCAACTGCTCCACGAGACTCTGTACACGAGCTCTACTTGCTGCCAGCTCCTGATGCAGATGCTGCACTTCCATTACAGGACCAAACTGCACTAAGCCAGGTTCCTTTCCAACTCAAAGTACCGTTGCCTCTCAGCAAAATACTGATTTGGGAGCATGGGGAGCTCGTGATGCAGACGTTGCACTTCCATGACCGAACTGCACTAGGCTCAGCAAATACTGTTTTGCGAGCATGGGGAGCAGGGCGTCCAGACTCCACTCTCTTGCGAAAAGCAAACCTGGTACCGTAGGACAGCTGTTTCGTTTCCTGGACTCATCCTGCCCTTGTAGAGCTGGGCAAAACGATTTCGATTTCGGGATCGAAATGATCGCTGCAACTCAAATATTCAGAGTGACCCTAAAACTACGTCCTTCCTCACGGAGCATAGCCTGGATCCGCTCGCTCCAGGCCGCTGTGGCTCCACACGAGGAAAGGAGTGAAATGACTTGTTTGCTTCGTCCTCCTGTTCTGACAGTGAGGAACGCAGCAATGATCCTGAGAAGGCATCCTGAAGTCGTAAAAAGGAAGACGTCTAAACAAAAACAAAACAGCTCAAATCAAAAGTCCTTGTGACATTTTTTGTAGACAGGCTTGCACTGCATGTAGATTTCGCGTGCTCTGCACGTCGCGCATGCGAGAAGTCGCGCACAGCCGAGGTGAGGTTGCTGCTGGTTGGTCGCGTGTGTGCAGCAGGATCCCACGCGACTGCGGAGTTGCCCCCTTGCTCGAACCCAGACAATAATAAGGGGATCGGTCTATTAGCACTTCGTCATATACGTGTATAATTAAGGCTTTTTACAGTACCAGTACATGTAAGAGCCTAGCTGTCTCGTATAGAAGCCAGTTCTGAATACAAGCCTGATTTT